ATTTCAACCAAACTTGGCAGGATTGTTCCTTGGATGAAGGGCTTCCAAAGTTGTTCAAAGAATTTCATTCCATGCAGAAATCTGGTTGCCATGGCAACCAAAAGGAATTATAAGAATAAATTGAAAAAATCTTCTTGTTAAGACCCAAAAGGCCTAGAGCTTAGATATTTTGCATAAGGCATTGTCTGGTAGACCTCTAACAAGATTGTTCAAATTATAGCCCTGGGGTCAAAATTGGCCCCGCCCCGGGGGTCATTGATTTTCACTATGTGCATATAGTAAAAACTTAAAATACCTTCTTGTAAAAACCCAAAAGGCCTAGAGCTTAGATATTTTGCATAAGGCATCATCTGGTAGACCCTTACCAAGATTGTTCAAATTATAGCCCTTGGGTCAAAATCGGCCCCGCCCCGGGTCATTGATTTTCGCTATATGTACATATAGTAAAAAGTTAAAACACCTTCTTGTAAAGACCCAAAAGGCTTAGAGCTTAGATATTTTGCATAAGGCATTGTCTGGTAGACATATCTACCCAGATTGTTCAAATTATAGCCCTGGGGTCAAAATAGGCCCGCCCCAGGGGTCATTGGTTTTCCTTATATGTATATAGTAAAAACTTAAAAAAAATTCTTCTAGCAATTGACAAATGCTAACTGTTAGATATTTTGCATGAAACATTGTGTTGTTAAACTCTAGCAAGATTGTTCAAATTATAGCCCTGGGGTCAAAATTGTCCCCGCCCTGGGGGTCATTGATTCAATATATACATATAGTAAAAAATAAAAAAATCTTATTGTCTGAAGGTACAAGGCTTAGAGCTTTAATATTTGTTAAATAATATCATCTAAAGGTACTCTACCAAAGTTGTTCAAATTTTGCCTCTTGTGTCAAAATTAGCCCCGCCCCTTGGAGCCATAAGTTTATCCTATATGTATATAGTTAAAACTTAAAAAATCATCTTCTCTAAATTTACAAAGGATAAAGTTAAGATATTTTGCATGAAACATTGTGTAGTGAACCTCTAGCAAGATTGTTCAAATTATAGCCCTGGGGTCAAAATTGGTTCCGCCCCGGGGGTCATTGATTTTCATTATTTAAAAACAAAATTTTGTCTGAAGGTTCAAGGCATAGAGCTTTGATGTTTGATATATAATATCATCTATAGGTCCTCTACCAAAGTTGTTCAAATGTCAAAAATTGGCCCTGCCCAGGGGCAGTGATTCTCATTATGTACACGTAGTAAAAACAGAAAAGAAAACAAATGTTTTCTGAGTGGGAGAAAGCTATAGCTTAGATATTTGACTTGAAATGTTGTTTGGTGGACCTGTATCAAGATTGTTATTAAACCCTTGGGTCAAAATTATGCCTTGCCCAAGGGGACAGTGACCTACTTTCTTGTCCTTTGATGTACAGCAATGACATTTTGACCATGTGCACAGTTTTAGTTGTAAAATTGAATTTTGACCTAGATTTTGATGATGTGACCTACTTTCTTGTCCTTTGATGTACAGCTATGAAATTTGAACCATGCGGTGGCATAGCATTTTTTATACGCCCGTTTGAAAAACGGGACGTATTATGGGAACGCCCCTGGCGGGCGGGTGGGCGTGCGGCGTCCATTTTTGTCCGGAGCATATCTCCTACATGTATGGAGGGATTTAATGAAACTTCATAGAAATGTTCATCACTATGAGGAGCAGTGTCACGCACATGAACCAGGTCTCTAGGTCAAGGTCACACTTAAAGCTCATTGAAAAATGCTTGTCCGGAGCAAAACTTCCACATGTATAGAGGGATTTCAATATAACTTGGCACAAATGTTCACCATTGTGAGGCGGAGTGTAGCGCACAAGATTCAGGTCCTTGCGGCCAAGGTCAAGGTCACACATAGAGGTCAAAGTTCAGATAAAAATATGAAGATGTGTATATGGACCATTTTAGTCATCATTTATTGAGGGATTGTAACACAAATGGTCGTTATCAAGACTATTGCTGTGATACATATAATTTAGGTCAATATATACAAGGTCAAGGTCACTAAAGATGATGAAATATCCAGATTTTGTCCGGAGCATATCTCCTACACGCATGGAGGGATTTTAATGAAATTTCATAGAAATGTTCACCATTATGAAAAGCCATGTCACGCACATGAACTAGGTCTCTAGGTCAAAGGTCAAGGTCACACTAAGAGCTCATTAAAAAAAGCTTGTTCAGAGCAAAACTTCCACATGCATAGAGGGATTTCAATATAACTTGGCACAAATGTTCACCATTGTGAGGCGGAGTGTCGCGCACAAAATTTAGGTCCCTGCAGCCAAGGTCAAGGTCACACATAGAGGTCAAAGTTTAGATAAAAATATGAAGATGTGTATAGGGACGATTTAATCATCATTTATTGAGGGATTGTAACACAAATGGTCATTATCATGACTACGGCTGTGACACATGTACTTTAGGTCAATATATGCAAGGTCAAGGTCACTAAAGATGGTGAAATATCCAGATTTTGTCTGGAGCATATCTCCTACATGTATGGAAGAATTTTTATAATACTTTATGGAAATGTTCACCACCATGATATGTATTGCTCCATGCATGATCCAGGTCTCCAGGTCAAAGGTCAAGGTCACACTTAGAGCTCATTGAAAAACGCTTGTCCGGAGCAAAACTTCTACATTCATAGGGGGATTTCAATATAACTTGGCACAAATGTTCACCATTGTGAGGCTGAGTGTCGCACACAAAATTCAGATCCCTGCGACCAAAGTCAAGGTTACACATAGAGGTCAAAGTTCAGATAAAAATTAAAGATGTGTATAGGGACCATTTAGTCATCATTTATTGATGGATTGTAGCACAAATGGTAACTATCATGACTACAGGTGTGACACATTTAATATAGGTTAATATTTGCAAGGTCAAGGTCACTGGAGATGATTAAATATCCAGATGTTGTCCGGAGCATATTTTCTACATGCATGGAGGAATTTTAATGTTACTTTATAGAATTGTTCACCACCATGAGACGTAGTGCCCTGCACATGAACCAAGTCTCTAGGTCAAAGGTGAAGGTCACAGTTAGAGCTCATAGAAAAACGCTTGTCTGGAGCAAAACTTCTACATGCATAGAGGGATTTCAATATAATTTGGCACAAATGTTCATCATTGTGAGGCTGAGTGCCGTGCATAAAATTCAGGTCCCTGCGACCAAGGTCAAGGTCACACATCCTGTGCATATCTTCCCTACTGATTTGTTTTAAGGTTCATTTAACAACACAGTGCCAAGAATAAAAACTTGCTTGCTATAGATAACACTTATCCATAATGCCCCCATCTCCATCTAAAGCTTTCGTAAACGGGCGTATTTTGTGACTATGGCACCCTTGTCTCAAATGCAATCTTGTTTTTTAAAGGTTTTTAAAGATTTGTTTAAACCATTTATTTGTTTTTGTATAGAAAAAATAAAAAAGTCCATTATTATGCCCCCCACCAGGTGGTGGCCTTTGTTGGTTTTAACACAAACAAGAAAGAGTGTTTTCTAAGTTGAGGCAGCCCAAAATGCATTTGAGTAGACAGACAGTCATTTTGGCCTTCATAAAATCCCACCAACAGCTCTGTTAGTAACTCAATTTGTCATAGCTTTGACTTTTGGATTGTCATGAAAGTTTGATACTTGATTAATTGTGAACAACATGAGCAGATTAAGTGTAACTGCATGTTTTACATAAATGTACATGTTTTATTGTTATTTTATGGTAAGTGATAAGTTTTTGTGATGGGCGAAGCAAAAGCCCATGAGTTTTATAAGGAGGTAAGCGTTAAAACAGGGTGTCGTATAATATGTTAGCAGTGAAGATACAGTCAAAACTGCCATAGTGACGCACTGTATTCAGTGACTTCCTGTCTTATGTGACCCTGTTTGAGTTGCCCAACAATTTTGGCTATAAAGTTGGACTGTATTAAGCGACTCAGTGTGTAACATGACTAGAGACAGTGATTTGTCCTTAACCCTTTCCTTCGTGAGCATATTGTGAAAAATGGCCGTTTTCATTGAAAAGCCTCCTGTTACAAGTTCAAATTGCTATGAAACTATGAAATATGTTTCAATACTAATGAAACTTGGCACAAATTTGACTGGACCATAGCCTCTGTAACAACATGCTCATTCTGAAATTTCCTGTTACCATGGCAATGGGGGGATGCCTCAAAGTTGCCAAAAAGCACTATTTTGCATTGTTTTTTCCCATCAAAACTGATTTCAAAGTGCTGCAACTTCTCAATGGATTGAGATAGAGTAAAAGGCTTTTAAGCGTTGGTTACAAGTTAGATAGATCTGAGGCAATTTTAGCCTGACACATGTCCAAAATTTTCTTGTCAATGAGGGTTGTTGCCCCCTACAAACCATGTAACAGAGGAGGGGGCACATCTACCTTCTGGCAACCCCTTGATGTACCTTTTTGATAGTTGGCGGCACCGAGAAAGTGATCTTTTTTTTTATCAATATTTCTCAAATGAAAAACAGTGTTTGGGGCCCAAATAGGGCATTTTGTCACTGTTTGAGGCCTCAAGAGGGGGGGGGGGGTAAAACGCCGTCAAAGCACGTCTATATGAGATAAACAGTTAAAGTGCATATCACTGTTTCAAGCAACAATGTTATGAAAAACAACAGATTTGGTATTTTGATATTGAAATCCCTTAAACTTCAAATGGACTGATCGAAATCATATACCTTACTGCGTTAGTAACGCAGTAGAAATATGGTGATAAATACTGCAGTATCCGTGAGTGAGTCATAAATTGTAAGTTTTTACTGAAGTCTTGGATTTTTTTCACTTTTCTTAAACTAATAATACATTTTTCTCAAATTTGAATTTCTTGCAATATTTTGGCTCATCTGGAGGCATGCAGCTTTAAATAATTGTTCCTTTAACAAAATATAGATGTAAAAGTGAATAGAAATATAAATGGTGAAACAAATGAATATTAAAATGACTTACCACTGTTATACGTATGAACCATAGGATTTAGTTTATTATCAGGAAAATATTATGTCCCTATCAAGCTGAATGTTTTAAGACAACTGTTGTAAGTTTCCTTGAAAAGCAAAATGTGTTAAAAGGACAAATTTTGTAGCAGGAACTAAATATAATACAAGTAGTTCTTATTAAGTGTTTGAAAAGTACTTGAAGTAGTGATAGTGAGTTATTATTCTAGCTAACGCAATTCACACTGTTTCCTATAATGTATTAAGGGCAATCTGATTTAAGTTCAGACCTACTTAAGTTACTTCCTTGCATGTAGATCTGATTGGCAATGTATTTGTTTCACCTTCATTGTTATTCAGATTTCCCGGAGAAAGCTATTTTTCGCTCGACTTTTTATAACCCCGAAACAAAGTTTGGGGGGGGGGGTGTATAGAGGAGTCACTCTGTTGTCGGTTCACAAGCACATTGAGAGGAAGTGCAGTGCACAAGAACCATAACTCCATCTTGTCTAATTACAGAGTTATTGCCCGTTGTTACTTTTTTCTTGTCCGAAACATAATTTGAAAGCTACTGGTTGGAATTCAAAACAACTTCATACAATGGTAAAGCACAATAAGAGGAAGTGCAGTGCACAAGAACCATAACTCCATGTAAAGTAATGATAGAGTTATTGCCCTTTGTTACTTTTCCGTTGCATTTTCCTTGTCTGGAGCATAACTTGAAAACCACTAGTTGGAATTCAAAAAAAACTTCATACAATGGCCAAGCACATTGAAAGAAAGAGCAGTTCTCAAAATCATAACTCTATCTGGACTTATTACAGAGTAATTCAATAAAACTTCATCAATGGTGAACCACAGTGAAAGGAAATTCAATGTACAAGAACCACAACTATCTTTAATTGCTGACAACCATAACATTATTCAAATTCTTTTACAAGGTATTCTGTTACTAGTAACTTCCTCATTTCCGAAGCAGTCTTGCAGGGGTATCACATTTAGTGATAGTTCTAGTTTTTTATAAAAAAGGAGGTATTGTTTCAGTCCTGTCAGCAAGCAAACTTTAGCCTTGATCATAACTTTTTAAGTTCTTCGTGTATTGTCCTTATACTAGGCCACAACAACCCTTTGAAAAGACCTTCCAGAAGGCTAGAATAAACTTGACCTTCAAATTGACTTTGGCTCATTTTATATGACCTTGACCTTGAAGGTTAAATTATCTAGTTTTCACTGATTTTTGCTACAATTGACTGTAAGTTGGTAATTTATCAATAGATTGTCTTCATACTTGGGCAAGACAACATTTTGGACAATTAATTGTAACTTTCTGAAACCTCTGTACTGACGTTGAACTTTAAATAACCTTGACCATTAAGACCAAATTATGAATTTTGGTTTTAATTTTCATAGTTTTGTCATTTATGTACATATTTGATTTATAACATGGAAAAAACAACGTACTTACTTACCAAACAAACATGTTTTTATGAAATATTTTATATGTGACTTTGACCTTTAATTGACTTTGACATCCAGGTCAAATTAATGAAATTCTCTTTTTTTTTTTTGCTGCCAACTGGCTATATAGCTTTGTTATTCAAATATTGAGACAAAACATATTTAGGTCAGGACCTTCATGTATATCAAACACAATTGACCGTTGAGCTCATGTATGTATCTTGTACCTTGAAAGGTAAAATTATTACACCCCTAAAAAACGAAGTAGTTTTTGGGTATACTTTAGTTTTTTGTTTTCAGAATGGTTTTGGTCTGTTCTTTGCAGATTTCTTGTCTGGGATCTAACTCTGAATGTTTCAATAATATCTTCTTACATTCATTATCCCTCATGTACAGACTCAAATCAAATCCGAGTCTGCAAAATTCTCTTGCTAAATTTTGTTGTGTTTTAATGCTTCAACTGATGACCAATGTCAAAATTATTGCATTTTTCTTGTCAGTTGTTCATTTTTTGTTATTTATAACAGATTTTGATCGTATATGGACAAAACAACTCTCATGACCAAAAACGGACATGTTTAATGATTTAGATATTGACCTTACCTTATTAAATGGACCTTTGTTAGAGTCAAATGAATTTTTGCTGATATTTTTAGTTTTTCATTTATTTTATGGAAATAATGCATACTAAAACACAAAAACAACAAGTGTGACTAGACAGACCTATTAAAATTCGAAAAAAGAAGAAAAACTTATGTTTACTTTTCTTTTTAAAGATATCCTTAAACCGTTAATTGTTCGCTTATAGAAAAAGTGAAAAAGTCCAGTGTTGCCCCTGCCTGGCGATGGCTCTTGTTAATCCTGCAATCAATCCATAAAAGTATCAAAATATTATTGTCCATCGAAGTAAAACAAATTGTTGATTTTTGTTAGTTAAAAAATGTTTGAAGTTATTATAAATTAATAAACTGGAATTAATTAATAGACTAAATTTTAAAAGGGCAAGATTTACCAGCTTACCTGCCAGTTATATAGACAAGCCCAGGTTTGTTCTAAAAATCAAGAATTTTCAATTTACAATAGTTTTTGTTTTTACAGCATTAAAAATTTAAAAACCGCACCCCTTTTTTTAAATTGGGGGAAAGCTTCCCAAATGTTTTGGGGTTTGAAAGGTCACTGTGCTTATTTTTAATTTTGTTTCATGTGCCCAAACGGGAAAACCATCCCAAAAGCTGTGGGTTCAAGCCATGCAAGTTTTGGGTTTTGATTCTTCATGAAGGAAGTTTTCCAGCTAGTTTTATAAAATTTGCTCGTGTTTTCTTATTTGGGGGGTTTGGCCTGTTTTCCTGAAATAAATGTACAAAAAAAGGAACTGAGGGCCTCTCCACCTTAGTTATGCTGGAAATTGTCTACCAATACTGCACCTATTTTGAATGTGGTGAACTATAAACCTCCCCCCCCCCACCAACACACACACACAAAAATATTGAAAAAACCAAAATCCACACTTCACTTATAGACCATTGTAACAGTTTGCTGACATCCAAAACAGTTATCCCCATAATCAATCTGCCAGCTTGAAATCTTTGTCTAGGAACATAAAAAATTAATTTTTTGAAAATTTTTATTCCTACAAGCAATGCACCATTGCAATTTTATGCTGTCACCCGAGTCTTGCTGGAAAATTGCAATATGACTTTGACTTAAACTGGCCTCCTTAACCCACAAAAAAAAAACAACAAAAAAAAAAAAAAAAAACACTTTTTAAGCTTGCCTTTGAATATTTTTAGGGGAGAACTTACATGTACTATATGTAGTTGGAATTGGTTTATGTGCATTAACCTTTTTAATTACCATTTTTAAAATTGTTGAATTTTGAAAAAAAAAATTGATTTAAAAAAAAAAACAAAAACAAAAAAAACAAAAAAAACATTCTTTTTTTTTCTTTTATTTTTCAGTAGGAAGTTGTGAAAATTTTCCTTTTTTTTCAGTAAGAAAGTAAAAAAAAGAATTTCTGGAGTCGGCGGTGAGGCATGATACCCTGTCACTCACCAAACCATGCACGGGGATTCCCAAGAGAAAATTAACCCTACCAGGTCTTTACAAGGAAAAGTAAAGTTTTGCTTATTTTTGTTCAAATTTTGGTTTCCACTCATTGAGATTTTTAGGACCTTCTCTAAGACTTGCTTCTTTTCCTAGGAAGCTGATCGTTTGCTAAGGCTCAACCCAACTTCCTAAGAAAGCGACCCTGTTTCTAGACTTGCTTCTAATATTTGGTTCCTTCATTTGACAGTGGAGTTTGCTCACAAAATTAGAGTAGCCCCAGTCCCAGTTGGGTCATTGATTTTTCCCCTTATTGTATATTTTTTTTTTTTTTTTTTAGTAAAAACTTTTTAAAAAATTTCTTTTCTAAAAAAAAAAAAAGGGGAGTAGAGCTTTGGGATATTTGGATGAAACAATGTTCTGGTGTAAATTCTACCATGTTTTTGTTTTTTTAAATAAAAACCCCCTAGGTAGTCCAATAATTTTGGCCCCTTTCCGGGTCATGAATTCCTTTTTTCCTTATAATGTAAATCCTGTATTTTTCCAACAATGTTTTCTAAATTTTTATTATGCCCCAAAGAATTTTGGGGGCATATTTTGTTATACCCCCTGGCTTCCGTTCTGTCCGAGTCTTCGAGTATAATGTTGGTACAAAATTACCCAAAACAACTACCAACCACTCCACTCCGTTGTATTGTTGGGGGTATTTTTAAATGAATTTTGATAAATATTGTTGGGTACTTTTTTTTCACAGTAAAATACCCAAAAGACTACAAATGTAAAGGATGTTTCGTCCGCCCGTCGTTTAGCAATTTTGGTTTTTCCGGAGCATAACTTAAGTTCCATTTGGCCCCACAGTAATTCAAACTTCATAGGATGATTGCCCATATTGGATAGAAGACCCCTTATTGATTTTTGGGGGTCACAAGGTCAAAGGTCAAGGTCACTATTATCTTAAAACTGAAAATGGTTTCCGGAGCATAACTTAAATTTCCATTTGGCCTCACGAATGTTCAAAAACTTCATAGGATGATTTGTCCATATTAAAGGTAGAAGACCCCTATTGATTTAGGGCAAAAAAGGTCAAAGGTCACTATTACCTTAAAACTTGAAAACAGTTTCCGGAGCATAACTTAAGTTCCATTCGACCCATTAATGTTCAAACTTCCATAGGATGATTGTCCTTCATTATTAGGTAGAAGACCCCTATTGATTTTGGGGTCACACAAGGTCAAAGCGTCCAAGGTCACTATTTCCTTGATACTGAAAACAGTTTCCGGAGCCATAACTTAAGTTCCAATTGGCTCAACAATGTTTTCAAACTTCATAGGATGATTGTCCATAATTGGGTAGAAGACCCCTATTGATTTTGATGTTACAAGGCTCAAATTCACTTTTACCTTAATACTGAAAACAGTTTCTAGAGCATAATTTAAAGTTCCAATTGGCCACAATATTCAAAACTTCTTAGGATGATTGTCCATATAAGGTAGAAGACCCCTATTTGATTTTGGGGTCATCAAGGTCAAAGGTTAAGCGTCATTATTTAAATTACTTAAATATTAATCAACCCCTACAGCGTAAAATTTTATTAGGATGAACAGCTAATTCCCATGTCTTACCAAATGCTTCATCCTTACTAAAAAAAAAAACACTTTCGGGCATTATAATGCTCCGCCCTAGCGGTGCTCTTGTTTTTATAATACTTTCCTTGTGTCCAAAACCTCTCTTTCTTCTTCTCTTCAACCGGTTCTTGTTTGAAAAGTTGCAGCATGATTATCCCCCTGATTTTATGGGTTTGCAACAATCGATGACAGGATTATCTCCCTGGCCGTTTTCGGTAAGGTGATGAAATCATCAGATAAAAAGAAAAAAATAAGACTGTTAAAAGTCACCATTGCAGGTATGGAGGGGAACTTTATCTTCAGAGTAAAACAGGGGAAACAAGGAAAGGTTTATTGTTGTGACAAAGATTAAAGGTGAAGATGAGATTGAAAAAGATTCGAGGACAGTAAAACAAGCTTCAGGATCTGGTTTATGTAGACAGGAATAGTAAGGAAAATAATAATGAGCCGGGTGTCACGACAAAAACCAACATATTGATTTGCCGACCAGCATGGATCCAGACCCCCGCCCTGCGCATCCGCGCAAGTCTTGGTCAGGATCCATGCTGGTTCGCTATCAGTTTCTCTTCTTGCTATGGGTTTGTAGCGAACAGCATTGGATCCTTGATCAGACTGCGCAGAAGCGCAGGCTGGTCTGGGATCCAAATTGCCTTGGTTGCAAACCCATATAGTGTTTGGCTTTGTCATATGACACAGGATCATTTTTGGAAATTAATTTGAAACCTTGGATTTTTCCCAAATTTTTACCTTGGTAGATTTGGCAAGAAATTGAAAAAAGAGTAAAAATAAGATCATTTAAATTGAAGTTTATTCTGTAAAAATGTTTATACATGTATTTCTATCGTGTTAGGGACAAACAAAAATGTTTGATTTTTGTGCGGTAGATGATTGCATCCGAGTACAGTGCCTGCATGACTAAATTCAGTTTAATTTGGGTTCAAACTGGTTCTTAACCTAACAAATAATGTACATGTAGAAATTCACTGCAAAGAGTACTTCAGAAGTAGGAAACATAGTTAACTTTTATCCCTTGTTATTTCACAAACAACAAAAGATATCAGACTGTATTTAGGAAACTACAGTTGTTGCAGCAATAACATCTTGTTACTGACTTATTTTGCTATATAACTAAAAGTAGATTTATATGAAACTTCGAGTAGAACTGGTAAAATTTTTTTTTATTTTTGCAACAAAACTTTCAAGATTATATGTTATATGACTAGGAATTGTCGATGAAGTGTATGATTAAAAGTAAACAGATATGATATTTATTGTTTTCAGGCTGAAGTTGATGCTGCAGTTGGGTTTACTCAAGTGATTAAGATGATCTCACAGAGTGTAAGTTCTTATCCTTTATATTTAATAGAAGTGGCCCTGACATGGTGGTTAAGGTGGTTGACTTTAAACCACTTGTCCGTCGCCCCTCACTGCATTCTGGGTTTGAATCTCACTTCAAATTCTTTCAAGTGAGGAAGCTATTTACCTAGCTTTATGAATGTAAGTTGCTAGCTTTATGAATGTAAGTTGTTCTACTTGGTTACCTGAGTGTCTGAAATTATGCACAGAGAGGCAATTGACGTCTTCCTTCACCAGTAAAGATAGTCTGTCACCATATGACCATTGCAGTGTAGGTGTGACTTAAAACTGAAATAACTGAAATATATAATTATATATATTTATAAATAAAGTTATAAATTTGAACTTTCTTCTTATATTTTAAGAAAGGATCCTTAAGTGATTCCTTAAAATGTGTTAATAATTATGCCTCTCTTCGAAAAAGAGGAGGTATATTGTTGTGCTAATGTGGGTCGGTCTGTCTGTTGGTTTGTCCGTCAGTAGACCACATGGCTTCCGCTGATTATCTTGACAACTATTTATCACAAATTCTTCATATTTCACATACTGATTGGTCATAACTAGTAAGTGACCCCTATTGATTTTGGGGTCAATTGGTCAAAGGTCAAGGTCATAGGGGCCTTTAATGTCAGAATGGTTTCAGCTCATTATCTTGAAAGCTATTTATCACAAAGTCTTCATATTTCTAATGTTGATTGGTCATTTATTAATTAGATGACCCCTATTGATTTTTGGATCACTAGTTCAAAGGTCAATATCATAGGGGCCTTAAATGACAGAATGGTATCCGCTCATTATCTTGAAAACTATTTATCACAAAGTTTTCATTATTAAATTGAACACTTCCATGTACACATTTATGGCAAGTTTTTTTAAACAAAATTACCAATAATGTGAGTCAAGGGCTAGAAAGGGGGCATATGTGTCATTCAACATTTCTTGTTTATATTTTGTTTTTTGGAACAACAGAGAAGGGTGGAGGGTGTTAAACTCATTACCCTCATGAGAGTGTTACCACTGGACCACTGCAAACACTCAACTGATAGTATTACCACTCCAACAGAGTGTTACCACTCCAACAGTCTGTCTTTAAGCTTATAGCTTCCTTTCTAAACAATAGAACTAAAATAAATTCTGTATAAACTAAACACTCTACAGATAGTGTTACCACTGGATCTCTGCAAATAGTGTTATCACTAGACCATTGCAAACACTCCTAATATGAAAGTGACTAAATTCTTACATTATATATATGACAAGTTCAAGTGGTAGGCCACAATGTGTATTAATGTTACTTGTTTTAGCATTACTTTCAGGTCAAGCTAGTGGTAATTCGTGAATATAATTATCTGTTTTTGCATTATATTCAGGGCAAGCTAGTGGTATGCCACTTTGTACACAAATGTGACCGTTTTTGCATTATATTTCAGGGCAAATTAGTGGTAGGCCACAATATGATGTTAGATATTGCTCACACAATTAACCAGTTCATGTACACTTTACCAAAGGTAAGTTGCCAACTTGACAGTAAACCTGTGGTAATGTATGATGCTTAGTGTACAGGATACTGTATTCCTAAAAGTTATTTGCACTTTTTGCGATGGGCAAATCTTTGCCATTGTTTATAATGTTGAAAATTTCACATGTGACAAATTCACGAACATTTTTAGTTTCATTAGATTAGATAATCAGTAAGCAATTTTATATCCTATATAATCATATTTCAAACGACCTTTGTATTTGGCTTCTCTCATTTACCATGGCATTTAAAGGGACTCCACAGATGTTTTTTGACATGACGGGACTGGAAATATTTTTTTGTGATTTATATTTTATTTGATGTATGTCTAGACCAATAACTAATGTACAAAATTTCAGACCAATCGCCCACTTCTTTTTTCCAGAATTATCAGTCTAAATATGGAAAATGACTAAACTGAAAAACGTAAAGCTTTTCATCCAAATCGGGCTTAACCCTTTCCCCCATGAGCATATTGTGAAAAATGGCCGTTTTCACTGAAAAGCCTCCTGTTACAAGTTCAAACTGCTATGAAACTATGAAAAATGCTTCAATACTAATCAAACTTGGCACAAATGTTGACTGGACCATTGCCTTTTGTAACGACATGCTCAGTCCAAATTTTCTGTTACCATGGCAACGAGGGGACATTCTCAAAATTGCCAAAAAATCACTATTTTGCCTCGATTTTTTCCATCAAAATTTATTTCAAAGGGCTGCAACTTCTCAAGGGATTGAGAATAGAGTCAAAGGCTTTTCAGCGTTGGTTAAACGTTACATTATGATCGACCTGGGGTCATTTTTAGCCTCTCACAAGTCCAAAATTTTCTTGGCGATGAGGGGGACTCCGCCCCCTTCAAAACCCCCCCAAACAGAAGGGGGGCACATCCCCTTCTGGCAACCCCCTGATGTATCTTTTGATGATGGGGGGCGGCGCCCGAAAAAAGTGCTCAATTTTTTTTAAGCAACATTTCTCAAACGAAAACTTATGTTTGGGGCCCAAATAGGAGGACATTTTTTTCAAAAAACTATTTGAGGCCCAAAAAAAAGGGGGGGGGGGGTCGAAAGTGCGTTGTTTCGCGTATATATGTGGTAAAGGGTTAAGATAGCACACATATACAACTTTCAACTTGTTTTGGATATATTTTATCATTATCTTTCACACATCTTTCTGTTTTAAAGTATTCATGCTGATATTTGTAAGAAATTCAAATTTTATATTTTTAGGCCTTTGGACCTCAGTGGAGTTCCTTTAAGAGGTCATTATTTTAAAATTGTGTTGTATAGACCGGTTGTTTAAGCAGGCCTGTTTCTTGTGGTAAATAGTATGGTTGGAGCTGCCTCTCTTGTATAGACCAGCCTAATTTGTATATGAAATACCACATACTTTATCAACAATAGTCTTATTAGTAAAATATAAAATGAAAACTAATGTAAAAATTTGTAATCTTTAATTTTATCAGGATTATGAAAAGAATTCAAATCAATGTGCAGATTGTGTATTTCCAAGGTAAAATCTCTATTATGACTCTATATGTATATTTCGAGTTTATCTTCTTTACAACATCTTTAGTATGTAGGGTTAAAAAACTAGTTAAAGAATGGCCAAGCTATCATCTGTGCTTTTTAGCTCGACTATTCGATAAGAATAAGTAGAGCTATTGTAGTCACCCGAGCATCGGCGTATCCACTTATGTTAAAGTTTTTGTAATAGTTCAAATATTTCAAAGTCCATTGACATATGGCTTGGAAACTTTGCACACTTGTTCACCATCATGACCCCAACCTGTAAACAGGAGGAGGTAACTGTATCAAGCATTTTTTTTTACTATCAAGCACTAAGAATAGTCGAGCGTTGCTGTCCTACCGACAGCTCTTGTTTGTCAACATCTTCATGAGCGTCATCAGTCACCGCATAGTGCTTTCTTTGTTCAAGTCTTTATGTTCAACCCTTCATGACTTATTAACCACCAAAAGTATTTCAAAAAGAAACTGATTTTTTTTTTTTGAAAACCTGTAAAATTACAATTAGTTCCAGATAATGAATATTTGCTTGCTATTACTTTATGTTTTTTTTGTTTCATTACACAATACCTTAAAAGATTTAATTATAAGCCTGTCTCAATAATAAACAAGGATTCAAAAAATAAATGGACATGAAATAAGACTCGTAGCTATAGCTACGAGGGTTGTTCAAAAAGAAATAGGACTGGCAAGCTCTACTGTTCACATTTTTTAATTTACGTACATAAATTTTACAAGAAAACAAATATTGGAAACATGTTCTCTATATACCAGTGAAAAAAATCAAATACAAAATGTTTTCAAATTACAATTCTGTCAAAAATTTTCAAAATGACAAGGGGTACGAAAACCCGGCGGCACGCTGATGATACAATGAAGTAAAATAACAGTATTTATCAAATTAATTAGTATCATTTATTAAATGTAATTGGGGGAAATTACTACTAAGAATTACCCTTAATCATTATTATATTGATTTAATAAAACCTAGTATTAGTCCTAATGAGATATCAATAAAATTGTGTTTTGATAGAAAAAATCTTATATATAATCTCAATTTGGTGAGAACTAAATAAGTAGACCGCCGCAGACAAAAAAGTGCCGGACAGTCAGCATTACTGTAATACTGTCGATTAGCCATTTACAGCACTTTTGGCAAATTGACGTCCAAATCAAATTTTCGCTTTTATCCCACAGCCTCCCTGTAAGAGATTTTGTATTCGCTTTTTTTTTAACTGATTGTACCACAGCTAAAAAACCAGTGTCCCCTTATGGCAGGATAATTTTCCTTTCTTTAAATTTTATTATTTTGTATGTATCTGAAAGAATATTGCCAAAATTTGTTGGCAGGGTTTAACCATCGCACGAATTTTTCTGTTTGTTACTGAGTGCTGTATTTGTACATTTAACGCCCATGATCACAACTGTTCAAAAATAAAATAATTATGCCTATTTCATGCCCGAAATGACGTCAAAATTTTAGATATAATGTCACTTAAATATAAATAAATGTGTTGGTGGAATATATGGACAAACAGAGTATAAATTATGGATAAATTAGAAGTACAATTAGCTTCAATAACTATTTTTTATGTGCTGCGCCGGGGTACGTGTTACCATGGTTATTCAATATCACAGGAAACGCACGTACATCATCACAATAAATCAATAAACTTATGGCCCCTAAAATTTGTAGAAAACATCTCACAACCCCTCTATACATATGAAAATATTCTAAACTGGATGAAATATGAATATGCAAGACCCTCAGTCCTATTACTTTTTGAAAACAACCCTCGTATACCAAAAAACTAATTTTTTTGTATTGAATTATTGATAATGAAAGAAACACTAAATGATACAGTCATTTTATTTATACTAGAAGGAGGTTTTAAGAAAATGTTTTATTTGAGAGAATAATTTAGGGGCCCCCTGTGGTCGATTGGTAAAGGTCATTGACTTCAAAAGCTCTTGCCTATCCTTACTACTGTAGCTTTGAGCCCCACCTGGGCTCTGTGGTTAAGATCATTGACTTCAAACCTTTTGAAGGGGCCCCCCCCCCTCCTCCCCCCCCCCCCCGAAAAAAAAAAAAATATAAAAAGTAAATAAATAAATAAAACACTCACTAGCCACACCAAATAAAGACATACGTATGCACTTATATCTTCATAAGTGCATCATATAAGAATGTTTTTATATTTTCATACACAGTAACCTTATCTTTAAAAATGAGTCAGTGAAACTATATTACATTTTCAACTCAAAAATAGGCCAATATTGAAAACAAGCCATTCTGGATAATAAGCTACTAATCTCTTACCAAAACTTATTTAAACCACTGCTTATTCTCAGATTTTTAAGAGTTATTGATCTTGATGAAAAAAAGTAATGAAACTTGTTCTCAATTTCATGCCAATTTTTATGCCCCCACAAAGTGGGAGCATATAGCGTTGCACTTGTCCGTCCGTCTGTCCGTCCGTCCGTACTTCTGTCCGTACGTCCCGAAATCTTGTGAACGCAACTCCTCATAAACTGGATGGAAGATTTTGCTTAAACTTTCAGGGATGAACAACCTTAATGTGTAGATGGTAGTAAAGGAAGGAATTTTCGTTGCGACCAAATTTAACAGAATTATGGCCCTTTGTTGATTTTTTAGCTCGACTTTTCTATGAAAAGGGGAGCTATCCTACTCGCCCCGGCGTCGGCGTCGGCGTTGGCGTCACACCTTGGTTAAGTTTTTCGTACCACCCCACTTTATTTCAGAAGTATTACAAGTATGGCTTTGAAACTTACCATACTTGTTCACCATCATAACCTCCATCTACAGACAAGAGTACATAACTCTGTCAAGGTTTTTTGACAGAATTATGGCCCTTTTTTGACTTAGAAAGTGTATTGAGCTTGGTTAAGTTTTTTGTACCACCCCTCACTTTATTTCAAAACCATTGGAGGTATTGCTTTGAAACTGACCATACTTGTTTACCATCACGACCTTCATCAACAGACAAGAGGACATAACTCTGTCAAGGTTTTTGACAGAATTATGCCCCTTTTTGACTTAAGAAAATACATTGAATATGGGTAAAATCCACTTATTGCCTTAACCCTTTGAGATATTGCTTTGAAACTTTTAATGCTATTTCACATCATTACCCCCATCTGTACGCAAGAGAAGGTAACTCTGTCAAGGATTTGTTTTAAAAATTAAGGCCTTTTATCGACTTAGAATCTTGGTTAAGTTTTTAGTACCAGTCCACTTTTTGACTGAACTGTTTGAGATATTAATTTGAAAGTTGGAATACTTGTTTACAATCATGATTCCCAAACATGTCCAGGAGAAGGTAATTCTGTCAAAGATTTTATTTGAATTATGGCCCTTAACTGTCAATGTTTTGTATTATAGGCAAGCACTAAAAAACTTAAAAAATCTAAAAAAATTCATTCCTATCCACTTGTTCACTTTACCATAAATTATGTCATATAAACATTGCTGTAATATTCAAGGGTATCAAACAACTAGTTCACTTTAAAAATACAGAGATTCTTGTATTGCCTTTTACTGCAAAAACTTTTTTTATTGGCAAGCAATAAAAAAGTTGAGCGCGCTGTCTTACGGACAGCTCTTGTTCATTATATACTATGTAGAAATTTTGTGAACGCAACTCCTCTTAAACCGGATGGCAGATTTTGCTTAAACTTCCAGGGATGAACAACCTTAATGTGTAGATGATAGTAAAGGAAGGAATTTTTGCTGCAACCAAATTTAACAGAATTATGGCCCTTTGTTGATTTTTTTCACTATATACCAGATAGAAATTTTGTGAACGCAACTCCTCTTAAACCGGATGGCAGATTTTGCTTAAACTTCCAGGGATGAACAATCTTATTGTGTAGATGGTAGTAAAGGAAGGAATTTTTGCTGCGACCAAATTTAATAGAATTATGGCCCTTTGTTGATTTTTTCACTATATACCATATAGAAATTTTGTGAACGCAACTCCTCGTAAACTGGATGGCAGATTTGGCTTAAGCTTCCAGGGATGAACAACTTTAATGTGTAGATGGTAGTAAAGGAAGGAATTTTTGCTGCGACCAAATTTAACAGAATTATGGCCCTTTGTTGATTTTTTCACTATATACCATATAGAAATTTTGTGAACGCAATTCCTCTTTTACTGGATGGCAGATTTTTCTTAAACTTCCAGGGATGAACAACCTTAATGTGTAGATGGTAGTAAAGGAAGGAATTTTTTGCTGCGACCAAATTTAACAGAATTATGGCCCTTTGTTGATTTTTTCACTATATACCATATTATATGTTGTCAGTGGGGGCATCCGTGTCCTTTGGACACAGTTCTAGTTTTCTCAATATTTATATTTACATAATTAGTAATTGAATTCTATCGCACTGACATATCTTTGTTACAGGTTGATAGATACCAAGTTAATGTCAAATACTCAACCATTCAAGGTAAAAATATTATTTAGATATTTACAATTACAGAAGCAGTTACAGAGGCTAAGTGAACAAAGTCACAGAGTATTTTGTTTGTTTCATTTTACGCCTTTTAGGAAACACTTGTCTGTCATTGATATAGGTCAAAATCCAACCTGGAATGATGAATTCTTTCATTTAAAGTGTATAAAACTATATATCCGATGCAAAAAATATTGTTTGAATTTTAAAAATGTATACTTCCTAAAATTAATGCTTGTATGAAATGGCGCATGCACAAATCATTGCTAAATGGGAAAAAAAACCTACTTAAAATAGCAAAATAATATTTTGTTCTGGGAACATTTGAGCAGCATCATGACAAAACCAACATAGTGGGTTTGCGACCAGCATGGATCCAGACCAGCCTGCGCATCCGTGCGGTCTGATCAGGATCCATGCTGTTCGCTATCAGTTTCTCTACTTGTTATAGGGTCTGTAAGCTAACAGCATTGATCCTGATCAGACCGCGCGGATGCTCAGGCTGGTCTGGATCCATGCTGGTTGCAAACCCATTATGTTGGTTTTGTCGTGACGCGGCTCATTTTATTCTGTTTACGCACATTATTCATGTGTATTAAATAACAGAGACATTCTATTTTACAACTTTTTTGGGAATCAACCATATAATAATGGAACCAATATAATTTGAACTGTTGATAAATTTTAGTAAAATTTTTCATAAGATATAGATTTATACCCGTTATGAAAGTTATACAGTTAGGATGAGTTACCATACAGGAAGTGTGTGGTTTCACCCATTTTGTGCCTAGTATATAGCATAATGGGGCTCAAGTGGTAAAAGTAGCTGACTTCAAACCATTTGCCCCTCTCTGCTGCGGGTTCAAATCCCGAAAAGGGACTTTGGATTCCTTCATGTAAGGATGCTATCCAGCTAGCTTTCTGAAATAATCCTTTACCAGTGAAGCTTGGATATCCCATAGGATCTTAACAATTTAAGTGTGATATAAAATTAAATCCTATTAAAAATGTGTACAAATAAATTGCGTACTTCATATGCTTGACCTAACGACCTGATTTGTCGGAAGAAAAAAAGGAAGTTAAAATGTAGATAAGGCAATGTATTTTGAAAACCAAAGTATTTGGTCAGATTGAATCAAATTGATATCTTAGTAAAAAGGAAGTAAACAATTTCATTGTTTACGTTGAAACAATTAGAAAATTTTGTAGATGTATCAAACCCATCTGCCCACTCACATCCTTCTTTGCTAAAGTGTTGGTTAATGTGTAGGAAGAATTACTTTGATTGTGATTCAAGTCAAGATCAGGTCATGATATTTTAAGGTCGACTTTTCGATGAATAGTAGGAATGGGCTTCTGTGTATGCTTACCAGTTTAAAGTCTTCCAACCTGTATTAAAATAAGAATGATATCTGTGTATTTGTTGCTTTGAAAATAAATTCTGTATTATTTTCAGGATCGCATAGATAACTCTGGTTTAAGTTTTCTTCATCACCTTACACAGTTACCTCCCTTTGTTAAACCTGAAGTTGGTAGGTGGTATTAATTAATAAATATGTATATATATAATATCATTAATTGTGATAGTAAGCTTTTTCTGGGCTATTTTGTATTGCATTTATATTATTATTTTTTTTGTTGGAATATTTTTTATTTTCTCAAATCACAATGATTTTTATGCAACCTTCTAAAGGCAAAGACGTATCTTGTACCTGGATGGATTTCTAAGAAAACCGTCTCATTAATTGTCTATAACCCATAACTAAAATTGATAAATTGAATTTCACTCTAGAAAATTCATCAGTTCTATGGAAAATTTCAAAAGGAGTACTCACTGTACTGAATGGTGAACAGTGCAGACCACGATCTCTGTCTGCTTTATTTGCACTGGTAGATTCATATGCTGCCTTTTAAGCTATGTTTCTTTATAATAATGCAAGTTTTAAACATGAATATTTTTTGATAGTTGTGATGTTTATATTATGTATAAATGGAGCAAATTTACAATTTAATTTGGATGTTAATTAAAGGGAAGCAATTGGTGTATTATTACAAGTTTGTTTACAAAGACTTTTTGACAAGTTATATGCCTTTATATAAAAAATGGTTAACTATATAATGTAATTTCTTGCATATCGGACAGGAATATCATTGTTTACACCAATGCTAGAAAAACCTACCTTACACCCCCCACCCCCCTATGTAAGTCAAGTTGTGTGTTTTAAAAAAAATGACATCATTCCTACGCGTTTTTTTTTAACTAATTGTGTTCTTAGGATGACATCATTGTGCCATAATGAATGAAGTTGTAAATTCATACGCTTCTATAAGCAAAAAGGGCAAAATAAAAATATTAGCTTTCGTAATTTCTTTTCGTAATACCATTAATTTGTAAAATGCAAGAAAAAGAATCAAACACTGTCAGTACAGACGTGAATATCTAGCTCTTGCGTACCTGTTAAACAGGAACTCAGCAGAGCCTCGTTACCGCCATAAACAGTTACCCTCGAGCTAGATATTCCGGTATGTACAGGCAGCTGGCATAAGAACCTTATATTATTTTATACTATAACTTGTACACAGCCATATAAGATGTTAGAATTAATTTATTATAAAATAACTAATATTTTAATCATGATGTAATCTAATATTGTAGAGATATCTGAAGACTGTGATAACAAATATAAAGATTCGCAGAGTTTACATGAAGCAGGATATGATGCCTACATTACTGGACAGTGTTTTATAGCACTATCAAACTTTCTAGGTTAGTAGAAATTGTTAATATAGGGCTCTATAAAACTTTCTTGGTAAGTAGAAATTGTTGATATAGGGCTCTCAGACTTTCTAGGTAAATAGAAACAATAAATATAGGACTCTCAAACTTTCTAGGTTAGTAGAAATTGTTAATATATCACTATCAAACTTTCTAGGTTAGTAAAAATTGTTGATATAGAACTCTCAAACTTTCTAGGTAAGTTGAAACTGTGTATAAAACTTTCCAGGCAAGTAGAAACTGTTAATATAGGGCTCTCAGACTTTCTAGGTTAGTAGAAACAATAAATATAGGACTCTCAAACTTTCTAGGTTAGTAGAAATTGTTAATATAGGGCTCTAAAACTTTCTAGGTTAGTAGAAATTGTTGATATAGGGCTCTATAAAACTGTCTAGGTTAGTAGAAATTGTTATAAATAGAAACTGTAAATATAGCACTCTTTTAAACTTTTGAGATATGTTTAAACTGTTACTATAGGGCTGTATAAAACTTTCTAGGTAATTAGGAACTGTTAATATAGGGTTGAATACAATTTTCTAGGTTAGTAGAAATTGTTAATATAGGGTTGAAAGGTTAGTAGAAATTGTTAATATAGGGATGAATACAATTTTCTAGGTTAGTAGAAATTGTTAATATAGGGTTGAATTCAACTTTCTAGGTTAGTAGAAATTGTTAATATAGGGTTGAATACAACTTTCTAGGTTAGTAGAAATTGTTAATATAGGGTTGAATACAACTTTCTTGGTTAGTAGAAATTGTTAATATAGGGTTGTATAAAACTTTCTAGGTAAGTAGAAATTGTTAATATAGGGCTCTCAGACTTTCTAGGTTAGTAGAAACAATAAATATAGGACTCTCAAACTTTCTAGGTTAGTAGAAATTGTTAATATAGGGCTCTATAAAACTTTCCAGGCAAGTAGAAACTGTTAATATAGGGCTCTCAGACTTTCTAGGTTAGTAGAAACAATAAATATAGGACTCTCAAACTTTCTAGGTTAGTAGAAATTGTTAATATAGGGCTCTAAAACTTTCTAGGTTAGTAGAAATTGTTGATATAGGGCTCTATAAAACTGTCTAGGTTAGTAGAAATTGTTATAAATAGAAACTGTAAATATAGCACTCTTTTAAACTTTTGAGGTATGTTTAAACTGTTACTATAGGGCTGTATAAAACTTTCTAGGTTAGTAGAAATTGTTAATATAGGGTTGAATACAATTTTCTAGGTTAGTAGAAATTGTTAATATAGGGTTGAAAGGTTAGTAGAAATTGTTAATATAGGGATGAATACAATTTTCTAGGTTAGTAGAAATTGTTAATATAGGGTTGAATTCAACTTTCTAGGTTAGTAGAAATTGTTAATATAGGGTTGAATACAACTTTCTAGGTTAGTAGAAATTGTTAATATAGGGTTGAATACAACTTTCTAGGTAAGTTGAAACTGTTAATATAGGGCTCAATAAAACTTTCTAGGTAAGTAGGAACTGTTATTATATAGCTGTATAAAACTTTCAAGGTAAGTAGGAACTGTTATTTTATAGCATTATGAAACTTTCTAGAAGAAGACAATAGACTTAAATATAAATAATTTTTTGCAAGTCAAATTGCAGTTTATAACTTTAAAGCAAGCAAATACTTTTTTTGCGTATTTTGGGTCAGATTGCAAAATTTTGATGCAGACAAATTATTTTTATATTTCAGGCCAGTTCCAGCAGCCACCATCAGACCGTGTCCCTCCATCTTCTCCACTTTTAGAACCTTTTCTCAACAAGTAAGCTTAATATAATATATTGTAAAGTAGAATATTGTGTGAAACATACATTTCTAATTCTTTGTATTAAAATGTATTGTTATGTATCATGAGGATATTTCTGAAAATGTATTTTTTAATGCAAATGGGGAAAAAAACAATTTTTGTTTTTAATTATTTCAGAATATTCATGATGAGGTCAGCGGATATACCATATATGGATCTTGTGGCTGCTGATTGTAAGTGGTTAACCAAACATGTCACATTGTTTTGTTTATATCTATGTTTTTATTAATCCCCTTCTGCAAAGCGGGAAATGGATTATAGGAATGTTCTCCGTCTGTCCATCCGTCCGTCCGATACACTTTTGTGTCCGGTCCATAAGAGGATTTACAAAGGTATCCTCCTGAATAAGGAAAATTGGTCAATAACTGAAAGAGCATTGCACAACATCAAGTTTATGGTTGGTGAAAGGTCAGTAGGTTCACATTCATGTCTGCTGCAGAAGAGGATTTAGCTGTCCTTCAAACAGCCTTGTTGCTTTTACTTTGTGTGTGTATTGGGGCAGAGGTGGAGTAGGGTAGGGGGAGGTAAAGATAAAAATTCACTTGAAAGTGCCTTATGTAATACTTCAAAGTCGTAACAATATGCCAGATTGTGCCAGAAATAATGCAATGCAGTCCTGTCCCTGCATGTAAAATCTGAAAAACACAACTTGTTATAAAGCAACTTTGAACAGTGTGGATTTGTTTTTTAACACAATAAAGATTGAATTACTCCTATTGTACCGTCCTCATCAAATATGATATATGGTTAAGTTTTTACTTTACAATTAACTGATATAGCAAGGGAACTGACATTGTCAAGCTTGAAATTTAATTAGAAAAAAAACATATTTTTATGTATTTGGATTACTTCCCTTTAATTGAATTTTGTTAATTTCTATATGATAATTGTGTATTATCTGACAGTTGTGAAATATTTAATGGACAGTCCCAAATTTAATCTAGGACTGAAAATCAAAGGGTTGAATTGTTGAGAAATAATCTAGGGAAAGTTCTCATTTTAAGGACATTAAAGTTATAAATAAGTACATATTTACATGTTGTAAGTAAATGAGTGTGCTGAATTTTAGTTTAACTTTCAGGTTTTCTTCTGGAATTTGGGACATTTGTTGAAATTAAAGGTGGACACTTGACTCCCCCACCCCACCCGGCTTTGAAATTTGCAATATGTATGTCAAATGCAGTCTCTAAAGTTTATGTACATGTATCAATAAAAATACATCAGGTAATGCATTTATATTCAAATTAATGCATTCTAATTTAAACATAAGCTTAAGTGAGCAGTTGTTATACATTTAGCAAATTTCCAGACTTGGGGACAACTACTTTTACATGCACCTCCACTGGGGGTGGGGAAATGTTAAGTGATTCATTTATAGAGTTGAAAAGGGATGGGGGGTCAGTTGAAAACAATGCAAATGTAAAAAGTTGTAAAACTGTTCAGAATTGTTTCAAGAATTTTAAGAGACCTCTGAATTAAAACTGAAACTTAAAGAAGAAATGCAGTAAAATGTCTACCTTAAGCTTTAATTTGGGGGAAAATAATGATGATTGAGATCGGTGAATTTTCACAGGTGGCTTGCTGTTAAAACTTTTTTCTGGTTACAATTTCCCCTTTATTTCTCATGGGATTGGAACCAAAAAGAATTATTACAAACTGCTTTGGCAGGCTTTCGTGCATTAATTATTTTTGGCTTGACTTTTCAAAGAATAGGGAGAGCTGTTGTACTCACATTGGAGTTACACTTTTTTAGAGTTTTTCCCCGTGCAAGTTGGTATCTCCAAAATTGATAAAAGGAATGGGTTGAAACCTTACACGTTTATTTGAGAGCATAATAGGAGGCCACAGTGCAAGGCTTATAACTCTGTCATGGATTTCATTAGAATAATTGCCCTTTTTCAAGTTATCAAGCACTGGGAATAGTTGTTTGGTGCTGCCTTTCAAACAGCTCTTGTTATTCCTTTTGTTTTTTATGACGTGTGATATAAAGAGGAATTTTTCCTCTTTGTGGGCGATGCCTAAAATTTCTCAGTAATTTCAACCAAACTAATATACAAAATATCCAGCTGCACTTTAATAAATGTGAATTCTCCTGCAGTGCAAACAAACTAAATTCTATTTTTTTGGTAAGAAAAAAAAGTGTTGTAATTTTTGCCAAATCACTCAAACATTTTACAGGGTATCGTTAAATTCTTTAAGGAAAATGAAAGCCCAAATTTCAAAATTTAAGTATGTGTAAACTTTCATGAATTGGTCTTAAAACACTTCTTAAATGTTTATGTAAATAAAAAGGTTAAAACCTGCTAATATGATTTCTAAAATGTTCTATAAATTTGCCTGACATATTGAAGTGTGGACTTCCTCTATTCAAGCATTGAACGATATTTTTGCAAAGCTAGCTAATAATTTCCCACAATTTTTTTTCTTCAAATTTCTTTTATACTGATCACATTTTATGAACAGAATTTAAATCTTGAAAAAATTGCGGAAAATGGTCGATCTTATTCTTTTTATACCGTTACAAAAAAGCTGCGAATTTCATAAAACTTGTCTGCTTAGCGGTTTTAATGTTCCATTTTTGCGCGTTCGTGTAAATAACGACTAGATCTTCTATTAAGGAGATAGGATTGGTAGACGATAAGTCGTCATAAATTTTTATGCTTGCTAATCCGTGTCCCAGACATACCCTGCATGTACCAGCTTTATTCTTTTTTTGTTTTTAGTCACCAAGCTTGAAGGTTGCATGAAAATGGGAAATATTTTTGTATTTCATTCATAAGTCAAGGTCACATTCAATGACGATTGTACTTTGTTATCTTTGAGTATGACAAGCCAAAATTTTGACTGAAATTGCAAAAAAAAAAAAAAAAAAAAAAAGAAATAAATGGATGTTACCTGTACGGAGCCTAATTTAAAGGCACAAATAAACCTCAGAGATGTATTTTATGATTGTTTTTTTTTTATTTCTGAAGAAAGGCAGACCTCAGTGGCTTATAATGTATTGATAATGTATTTTAGACCATACTCCATGCTTCATCATGTGAAGCAAGCAGAATTTAATGTGAAGTTATTTGTATTTAAAGTAACAAACTGTAAACGAAAGTGGTATTAGTCTTAAATATAAAATACTTAATCACTCTATTTACACTAATGGCTAATAATCAAAAGATTGTTCAGGAATACTATTTCTGTAACATTAAAATAACACCAAATATAAATGACTTTTGAGCAATATTATTATTAGTATCATATTTGGGCTCTCCATAATCATAAAAATAACCCCTAACCTGCTGAATTTCTTAAATGGACTTGTCCAGCTTCCATTTTGGAACTGTCCATTATTAATTTTTTGGAAATGAAGATGAAAATATAAAAATAGCAGATAATATAGAGTCTAGTCACACTGCACCCTGAAACCCTTACCCCACCAAGTTTGTGTAATGGAATCTAAATTTAATATTTATTAATATACAGAATGTGCATCAAGCATTTTTTCTGTTGCCATTTAAGGTGGCTTGATATTTTAAATTCTGGTGAGCTAATACAAGGGTCTTTATTGCCCTCATGTTTTTACATTGGTATACCTTTTAAAGATAGAGAGAAAAAATGCCTTCCTTAGAAGTATAATTGAGATGCTTTGATTTAAAAGAACATAAAATGTTGTACCCTTGTAAATTATCAGTACTTCCTGATACCAAATGAGATTTGTCCTTGAAACTGATTTAGCAATGTGAAACTATGGTAGCTCAATACCAGGTCGTGGGTGATACCTGTTTGGTTTTATCTCCATGTCAAGGTATTTTAACAGATTAGGGCAAGTTTAATTGATAAAAGTCATTGATGTTTTAAGTGCCACTTTCTTCATCATAAAATGTTTTGTTTCAAATGACTGTGCAGAAAATGGGTGTGGAAGTGGGTTTTAGGGTTTGGTTGGTTTTTCGGTGAAAGGGATTTTAAAGGTGTTGGGTTATTAAAGCTATCGCAAGTAAAATTGCATGATCTACATTAACAAAAGTTCGAGCTCTTTATTTGATTTTAGTTAACCTTTACCCCACTGAATATCTTAAATGGACTTGACGACCTTTCAATGTGGACAAAACTTTTCAACATTTCCAGTAAAATTATTAAAGCACAATAATTATATTGACAGAATAGCAAACACTGCAGACAATGGTCAGGTGGCACAGATGTGCTGGCTGATCTTGGTCTGCACTGGTTGCATAAGAAGATTCTGTTCCGATAAGACTAAAGGTAAGGTGGAAGGTGGGGAGTGCTACTTTAAATTATTACATAAATGGCAAAATGATTTTGTCGACCAGGGGAAGTTTGGTTCCTGAATTTGATTATGTCATTCAAATTAAAAGTTAAAACAAATTTTTTCAAGAATTGTGACAATTTTTTTTTACCAAATAATGTTGCAATAAGTTTGTGTTTTATTTTTTAACAAATAACTTTGCAAGAAGTTTGTTTTTATTTTTTTACCAAATAACTTTGCAAGAAGTTTGTGTTTTATTTTTTACCATTTAACTTTGCAAGAAGTTTGTGTTTTATTTTTTACCAAATAACTTTGCAAGAAGTTTGTGTTTAAATTTTTACCAAATAACGTTGCAAGAAGTTTGTGTTTAAATTTTTACCAAATAACTTTGCAAGAAGTTTGTGTTTAATTTTTTACCAAATAACTTTGCAAGAAGTTTGTGATTTACTTTTTACCAAATAACTTTGAAAGAAGTTTGTGTTTAATTTTTTACCAAATAACTTTGCAAAAGAAGTTTGTGTTTAATTTTTTACCAAATAACTTTGCAAAAGAAGTTGGTGTTTTATTTTTTACCAAATAACGTTGCAAGAAGTTTGTGTTTTATTTTTTACCAAAAATTAATATTGTTGCAAGAAGTTTGTGTTAAGGGACATTGCTACTTATGGTGAATTTATGTTATTGTTATTACAGTAAAACTTACTGTATCAAATAAATTTGTGAGAAGTTGTGTCTGGTTGGGGGATCACAGAGAGAAATTATGAAAAAGCAGTTATACTCCACTGCTGAGCTTGATAAACTATTTAAATTACAAATGAATGGTTATTTCAAGAATGAAGAATGTTTAACTGTTTTTTGCTGAATTTTTAAAGGAACTTTTCCAGCTTTTCCAGCTTCCATTTTTGGAATGCTAAATACCTT